TGTCAAAGTAGAATTAAAATGAATGACGAAAGTATTTTCGGTCGATTTTTGTGTTTCAAAAAATACTTATAGGTACAATAAAATTCCATTCTTTTTCTGATTCTGAAACTTTAAATTTTGTTGTTATGAAGTGTTGTTTGTGAAAGTATTTTTAAAATTATATTTGTTCAAAATCTAACTTTAGTTCTAATTTTGTATTTTCAAAAAGTAAATAATTTGAAACCATCTATTTTAAATGAAGTAATAAACTAAGAATGGCATGTGGAATCCTGCTTATACGTGCCAGATATGTTAGTCGTTTGCATTTAATGTGGCACGGTGTCGTATGGTTTCCTTATGTGGAAATATTTGACATCAATTGACCGAAAAGCCAGTTTTACTGCCGGTTGAAATTTATAGTCTTTCTATTAAAAGAATTTTTTCCGAGAAAACAGTTTTCTCAAATCCACTGTAATCGCTCTTTCCAGTATTGACGGAAATTTCCTTCCTAACCTTTTGTTTGAAATAGTGTGGAATGACAACAACTTGATTATATTATTAGTTTCTCTTTGTATTACATGGGTTATACATTTCAGTTATTGGGCCAGTTATGAACACACACACACACACATATATATATATATATATATATATATATATATATATATATATATATATATTCTGTATCTTCTAGACTCGATGAATTACATAATTATGATTATCTCAAATCATCCTAATAATTTCTGTCACTTGTACATCCTTCCTTGAACCGGCTTCTAATGCTCCAGTTGGAGCGGCTTGGGGATAGTAACGTGGCTCGTGGGGGCAGAGTCCTATGTGTCAGGGAAAATCGGATGAGTCCCACCACGGAATAGGTGATCGAGCGGTGCTATATCGACTCTAATTCGTAACCTCATCGTCACGGAGGCTCTTTGGTACAGTTGGTATTTCAATTCTCGGTAGTGGATGCACACAGTCCCAAATACAAGACGAAACTTACTGCATTCTGTTGAGTTTTCTTCTAAACTCGATGAGTTAATTATGATTATCTCCTACTAATTTCTATTATATATATATATATATCAATTTCTCTCTCTCTCTCTCTCTCTCTCTCTCTCTCTCTTTGCTAAAAGCCGACAGCCAGACACCAGTAGATACGATTTGATTATAATGGTGAAGGCTTTGTGCAGAACAAACCACAATTTTTGAAGGGCTGAATACAGAGACTTTGTGCACGACGTGCCACAAGGTCCTCAAACAACCTTCCGCAGGTTTTGAATTCAGAGTTGTCCTTCTCCTAGACCAGTTACCATCCAAGGTATAGAACACAGACTGCTCTGCTATTTACCCATAGCTGGACATGTAAAAACGGGATATTCATACCTTTTCCAAGGGTATTAGCACGTCGGGGAATGTAATGGATTCGACTGGAATTTGAACTCGGCTCTCCGAGCCCTCAGTCCGAACCGCTACCCACTCTTCCTCAGTACCTCCCTCCCTCTCTCTCTCTCTCTCTCTCCATATATATATATGTATTCTTTCGGTGTCAACTCCCCCCCTCTCTCTCTCTATATATATATATATATATATATAGAGAGAGAGAGAGAGAGACTATTGACACCGCAAGAATACAAAGATCGACATGATGAGAGTGGAAAATATGTCAGTACTAATGTGGTCCCTATGCTGAAAAGCTGTATGAACATCATCCTGAATCAGTTAGAGAAGGCATTTCTACGTTAGTAAACGCCAATTAAGATGCGTTAATTCATATCGAAATAGGCTTGCATTTGTGTAGCGTTTTTACATGTTTTTCATGCAATATCCTAAATTATTCAATATTGCTCTATTTTTGTATTGAGCCATCTTTTAAATTGAATGTTACGAACGTCGGAATTGGATTCTATCCGTTCTCATTTCACATTGATATATATATATATATATATATATATATATATATATATATATATATATATAATGTGAAGTATAGGTGTTCTTTTGTTTAAATTTTCTCTAAAGCTTCTTCGTTCGGTCCACAATATTCTCAGCATCCTTCAGTAGAACGTCATTTCTGTTACTTTAAATATCTTCTTCATCTTTGAAGACAGTGTCCAGCATTCAGCGCCATATAGAAGCACTGATATATCTAGTTCAGTTACCTTCGATTTGCTGACGTCAAGATAATCGAATTTCAAATCTACATTGTTCATTTGAAGTACTACATTTATTAGAAAGTATATTCTGTTTAAACATAGAAGAGGTCATCAAAATGACATCAAAAGGCTGCGCATTTGGACTTATACTTGTTTCCTGTTACCCACAGGTTGTTGTCAAACAGAAATGGAAATTAGCCATCAAGAAACACATTTTCATTTCAAGTTTGATCAGGTCGATAAGGTCAAATTGGCGGTTGATCTCCAAAACGGCATACAGTCTGTTGTTAAATTGGGCAGTGAATGAACGCATCTAAAACAAAATTACTTTCTATTAGTCACCTGAGAAAACCCTTTCTGCCTCCCATCAATATGGCTGATGCTAACCTCCAGTAGAATGAGTCGTTGTGCATTCTCCACTGGCATGAAGTGGAAAGACTACATTGAATTCACTGCTAAGTCAGCTGCTGCGAAAGTTAGTTTGCTTTGGTTTTTTTTTTACGACATATCAACCTCAAAGGGTTATTTAATGCCCACAAGATTTTTATTGCTGCTAATATTTTTTTTTTCAAAAATGTATTGCTGATAATAATTTTTTACAAAGTATTTCTGGTATTAAAACCAATGTTTACACTTTTATCGTGTTTTGACCACACTTTGGGTGTTAACTATTTACTCATAGCTGGGACCGTAACAGGTGCTACCACTACGAGTCAAGGTGTACCTGGGAGCACCAACAATTAAGAGATGGTTCTACGGTCCTCCAAGACCTTGCTGTAGAACGTAGTTTATCCTCTTACCCAGGACGCGGATGTAGTTTATTGTCATACCCAGGACAGACGAAATTTGTTTCATTGAGTCGTGCGAGACTTTTTTCTCTCCAGAATCTATCTTACATAAGGCTACTATTCACCTATGTTTACAATATTGCTGCCACATATGGTTCGGTACTCCTGCTATATATTTAAAGATTCTTGATAAAATTCCAAAGAAGAATCAGCAATATTATAGATCCTGACCTGGCGTATCGGCATCAGTTAATCTCCTTCTGCGATAAAGTCGTTTCGCTGTGCCTTTTCTATAAATACGTTCATGGTAATTGTTCGGGTGAGTTCTTCATTGTGGTTGCTAGACTTTATGAATTTAAGCGCAGTACTAGATTGGCGGTAAGGTCTCAATGTAGAGGCGAATTAACTAGATACACTTTCTATACTAACAGTTAATTTTCTCGCATTTCTCGCTTGTGGAACTCTCTTCCGGCTCTATGATTTCCGTCCAATTTTGATCTTCAGAAATTTAAATGTAATATCAATTACTATGTACTTTCTTCCTTATTACTCTTCTATTGTTCGCTCCTTCATAATGCTTCTGTTTTCTATTTCTTTCACGCCCTGTAACCCCCTTGAGTCTTAGTGGCTTTACTGTCTTGTGTGGGGTAATTTTTTTTAAAAATCCGTGTGCACGGGGTTGCGTATACATTAAATGGTACAATAACATGTAAGTCACACAAACACAAATCAGATATATGAATGCACATTAAAAACACGCCAACAAAATTACAGGCAGACAGTGTGTAATGGTCAGGGAATCAGCTGGTCTTTTATAATATAAATTATATACTACAGTTGCAGCCGACTCCTTTGTGAGTAATAACCTCTGTGAGAGAGGCACACTGATTCATAGAGTTACTGGGAAGACCACGCTCTGTCATTAAGTGTCTACGATTAATAACCCTTTACTATATGCGGGTTGGTACGTTAAATGAAATTGGCAGGCCGAGTTCAAATTCCGGACAAAATAATTATGCTCTTTTCTAACTGAGTCGCTTCATAAAGGTATGAATTCGTTTATTCTGCACGTCATTTAATCGGAGTAGAGAGGTTCGCCTATCGACCCGTTCACGCTCCTTTCCCGTCTTTTGAACAGGGGTAGAGGTTTATCGCTTGTTTCCAGTTAAGGATTGGGTTTCCGGTTCCTTCTCCCAAATTGTTCTCATCCTCTTTCATTCCCAATAGCCCCTTTGCGTCATAGTGGCATGGTCGCCTTTCTTGGATTGAAATGATTTTTTTTTTAAATTCAATCTATCCTTCGCCGGGTGCGTATCCAGATTTTACGTCTGTGCATCAGCGATGGCCCTGCTATTGTATTACGTTAAACTATCTTAGGGAATTTCTACGATAGAACAGTCAGCATTGGATGATATCTGTAAGTTAATACTGCGCTCAGTAAATGTAACGCTATTGCGGCCGTGTTAGATAATAATAAAACTCAGTAAATATTTACAAGAGATGGTAAGCAAACTAATCATATCAACAAAGGCTGGTCTGTTCTATCTTCGCCGGCTGCGTTCAAATTGAATCTCGAGACCAGTGCAAGATAAATTCAATAATTATCTACTATTAAAAAGGTATTCCTTCCTCTCCTGATCGTACTAAACTTCAGTCTCATGTCACACGAAGCCTATGCCAAATATAATCTCGTGTTTAGCGTTCTGTGAAGTAGAGTGCAAAACAAAGATTTTTAAAAGAAGATAGAAGAAACGCCAGCCAAGTAACGTTGTTACCTATCTGGCCAAGGATCATCTTAGGATTCGGTTTGGAAAAGAATTCATTATCAGCAATTAGGTGATCGGACGAAGGAAAAGCAAAGGGAAAAAGTGATTTTTTTTTCCCCTAATTAGGAGATCTGTATCAGGTTGCGACGTCATTAGCAAAAATCAATGAAAATACCGGAAGGTCGAGTAATCGCGCTCGAAGGAGAATTGAACAAATGGTTGTCTCGATTGCTTTTGTCTCTAGCCGGAGGGCCACTGTAGCTAGCGACTTAGAAAGGTATAGATAATGACAAGTTTTACTGTTGCAAATACATTTAGATAGCTAAAGGAAAGAAAAATGTTAACTGTTCTGCAGATATTCCCAGAGATAGATAGATAGATAACGAAGAGACTATAGATAGATAGATTGATAACGAAGAGACTACAATAGATAGACAGATAGATAGATAACGAAGAGACTACAATAGATAGACAGATAGATAGATAACGAAGAGACTACAATAGATAGACAGATAGATAGATAACGAAGAGACTATAATAGATAGATAGATAGATAGATAACGAAGAGACTATAATAGATAGATAGATAGATAACGAAGAGACTATAATAGATAGACAGATAGATAACGAAGAGACTATAATAGATAGATAGATAGATAGATAGATAACGAAGAGACTATAATAGATAGATAGATAGATAGATAACGAAGAGACTATAGATAGATAGATAACGAAGAGACTATAATAGATAGATAGATAGATAACGAAGAAAGAAAGATAACTGAAAACAGTCGTTACAGAGAAGGCATGATAACGTCGTCTAATATCATTAGATGTATAACTTTATAAAGAAGAAAAAGAAATTTGCGTAGTCTGATTGAGTAGTGAGTTTGATATTTACCTGTTGCCTCATACAAAACTCGACATCAAGTAACCAAACAAGAGCTGAAATCATTTTGCATTTCATTTTTTAGATTGTCAATATTTTTAATTTCGAAGTTTTTTTTGTTTTGTTTCATCTTTTGTTATAAACGTCATTAATTTTTAATTTGCTCACGGATTCGGCCGGAATCAAAAATATTATGATATGTTAGAGGCTACGGCTTCTAGGAGTAAAGTGGAAAGAGAGTGACAAAGTAGCATACTAACAATCGCATTTATTATATATATATATATGTGCGTATGTATCGGCTTGGAGTGAGGAATTGGAGAGCCAAGTTCGAATTCCAGTCGAATCCATTACATTCACTTACATGCTAATACCCTTGGGAAAGGTATGAATCCTCTTCTTCTCCCTCCAGCTATGGGTAAAATAACAGGACAGACTGGGTTCTATAGCCTTGGATGGCAACTAGTCTAGGGAAGGACAACTCTAAATTCAAAATCTGCCGAGGGTTGTTTGGGGACTTGTAACACGTAGTGCACAAGGTCTCTGTCTTCGGTCCTTCAAAATGTGTGATGGTCCTGCACAAACCCTTCACCACTATAATCAAATCTCCACTAGAATCAAATCTCATGTGCTGGTGTCTGGGTTGTCGGTTCCTAGAGCTGAGCTGCTTGACCTCATGCGTTGAATACACGGGAGAGTCGGATATATATATATATATATATATATATATATATATATATATATATATATATATATATATATTAATGTATATTTGTGAAGCAACCTTTCTTTTAAACATGTTTCGTTGATTACTTACAATGTTTACATTATTCAGACTGTTATCCTCATCTTCATTGTCATATTCGCAACGTTTAGGCCGTTGTACACTCCGAACTTCTTCAGTTGATTGGAATTTCAAACCGAACCCTTTATTTCGCCCACCAGGGTAGATTCTTCTAGATCCACTTGCCATGCCTCTTCCCGGTATCTAGAACAATCTACCCAACTGGACGAAATAAATGGTTCAGTTCGAAATTCCAATCACCTGACGAAGGCCGGAGCGTACGAAGGCCGAAAAAGTTGTAAATAGGGCAATGAAGATGAGGATAACAGTCCGAATAATATAAATAAACATAATGCCTCTTCTCAGATATAGACAGATGCTTCGTTGGATATGACAGATGACAGACAAGGAAAATTGAATTATTTTTATTTAGCTTTCCCAGCATGCTTACATTTTTTTTCGTTTGTTGCAAGTGCAAAACTTGTCCAAGTTCTTTCGGACACTTTTCTAGTCATTTCGAAGGGGTTTATCTGAGGTGTTGTTAATTGCTCTTCGTATTTAACGGTTAAAGATGTATTTTTTGTGTTATTTGAATATTAGAAGGAGCCTTCGCGTGTTGGACACTGCTGGAATTCGAGTGAGCGTCTTTCTGTGAAAAAGAAAAATAAAATAAAAACCATCATCCCCACTGTTGAAGGAGGTGAGGTTGATCGTGGGACAATAGGCAATACGGACAATTTTTTAAGTCCCTTACTCCCACCAAACGGAATAATCCCAGAATGCTGGAAAAATCTGAATAAAAAGTTACATATATATATATAGCGTAAAGGTTAACGGAATTTAACCTCAAAAATACACTTACTCAACACCTAATTTGCACTGAGCTATTTCTCTTTCGGGCGATGTGTTCAACTTATTTTATAAATGTGGCAATAGCGAACATGGAATAGTAACGTATTGAAGGTGTGTCATGCTCCAAGCTCATACAATGAATCAGAAAAATGTGACTAGACAATGGCCATCAATTGGCATAAATTGAGTTCATTGTAAAAATCATGTGCAAGGCATTAGTTGAAAATACAATAGAGGTTATATTCACAATTAATAAAAGCAAATAATGTTGAATGAACGTCGGTCGTAGACATCGTAACAGATACGGTAAATGAAGTTTCTTTGAGTTACAGTTTGAATGACTTCAATGCAGTAAAAAAAAAAACTATAATTTACATAGTCTTCCAAAAGTCTGTGAAAAAATGTAGTCACATATGTGATTAACTAAGTTCAAAATGTAAAAAAAAAAAATTAAATTGTGCTTACTATATATTTAGGACTTTGCAGAAAAAAAACTTACTCACTATTGAGTTAATTGGAAACCACATAAAATTTGAATTGCCAGGGCTTCTTTATTTACATTATTTATATTCTGACTATTGTCCTCATCTTTGTTGTTCTTATAACAGCGTTTCGGTTGTTGAGCTTTCCGGCCTTCCTCAGGTGTATATCGAACTCGGGTAATCTACAGGGAATTCTGAACTGAACCCTTTATTTAATCTACAGAGGTAGACTGTTCCCATTCTACTGCCCATGTCTTGGGATATCTTGTCTAGTTCTTATTTTTAGTACTGCTCAGTTATTGTTCACCCATTTTTACCGAGTTCTAGTAGACACTGCCCGTCGCAGGGATTGAACTCACAATCACTGTCACCAAATTCATCTAAACCCAAAACTTTAATCCACTAGGCCATTGTCCCGTAGGACTGCAGTGACTTAGCGGTATTAAAAATAAGAATTAGACTCTATTCCTAGACATGGTCAGTGGAAAGATAACAGTCTATTCCTGTATATGAAATGAAGTGTTCAGTTCAGAATTCACTGTATGTTACCCTGATCAATACAAATCTGATGAAGGCCGAAGGACACAATGACTGAAACGTTGTCATAATAATGGCAAAGATGAAGATAATAGTCCGAATAATTAATAATATAATAAATAATGATAACTCTAAGAAATAATAAATAACAATTCTCGGAAATTTAAATTCATTGTGCTTCTTTAGTTTGTTCTTTTTCTCAGGCTAATGAGGTTTTTGCGGGAACTCTGCACTTATGTAGAGGAGAATTTTTGTCACCACTCTCTGACGTTTACTAGCCTTGCGGTTATCAGCGCCCCCCCCCAAAAAAAATTTGGAGTAGTATGTCGTGTTTAGATTAACTTCGCTTCTGCACAAATACCCTTTGAGTGATATGAAACCATATCTACTCCTAACACCCCTACAACGTTATGGATTAGGAGCAACTGAAGCTTGTTGGGTAGTTCGCTCGACGTCTCCCTCTGTCCCTTTCGCCTCCAATATGTCGTGTGAGTAGCAAATTTTCCGAGCCTGTTTTCCTCAATATGTGTCCCGAAAAATTCAACTGCATCTTTCTAATTCTAATTCACAAGTGTCTGTTACGGTTTTTTGGGTATATATGTATAACTAGTGAGCGAGTCAAAATGACTTATTTCCCTTTATAGTCTACCAGTAGAAGGTTGACCAATCAGAAGCCGCACAACACTGTATCCGTCGTGTATAAAGGCGGCCATCTTTTTTCCTGCCAACCTGACCAGAGGCAACTTGTCCGGCGAACAGGACAGACGGAAGAACTACGCTCTGCTAGCTTGCTGCGATATCCACTGCGAACCTGCACTACGCTTTCCTACTGTCGCCGAAATATTCACTGCCAGCCTCTGGATTCTATACTCGAGGACGACCGTCATGAAAATGTCTAACAGTGTCTGTGTGTTCCCATTTTCCTGAAAACTTTCTCTTTGCTCAGATATTTTATTAATGGTTTCCTCAGCATCAGTCGACTCAACTTTCTTCTTCATATCTGCAAAGTCTGTACTCTATTCACTGCATTTTTCTTCGACATTTCCCCTTTTTTTCTTGATATTTTGTTTAGCTTTGAGAAAGCACTTTTCATGCGACATAGAAATCCAAAGATTTCTGTCACATTTCTCGTCATAGATTCACATCCGAAACCATTGACAACGTGCCCCATTTTGATGGCCTTATTCGAGAATAAGTACAGCTTTCTATACAACTACATACCTACACCACACACACACACACACACACATATATATATATATATATATATATATATATATATATATATATATATATATATATATGAAGAGAGAGAGGTGCCGCAAACGTTTTTGGTTGTAATGTGGATTTATTTAGAAAAAATATTATGCTTTGTTTTACATAATTTTACTACACGTGTTTCTGGTCTCGTGACCGTCTTCAGGTAAAAGCGGAGATTTCCACATATTATTAAAAATAATTATTTTTTTCTTTTGATTCAAGAAAGAAATTCGGATTACTAACACAGAATATCGAGAATATTGAAAAACAAAAAACGTTTGCGGCACCTCTCTTCTCTTCTTTTTAATATACATACTTTTCTCTCGTTGGAACCACTATAAACTCTTTCTTTTATATATATATATATATATATATATATATGAGAAATGATTAAATCGCAAATGCCGGCGAAACGCATCTATGCTTGCGTACACGTACGTACAAACGCATAATAATATATAGATAAGTTAGTAACCTCATTCTAACATAGGTAAGCAGAAATATTGCTGCCATCAACTGACTAATGCCCCAATCAACTCTCGGCGTGAAGCAAAAATGAATAATTCATTTCTTCGCAGAAAAAAATAGAATGGCTATTAAAGAAAGACTAAGGGGCTACATCTGACTTCAATTTCAAACAACGAAGAAAAACATCGGGAAAGAAAAAAAGGTACAAAAACAAACAACAAAGACAGTTATAAATGCTGAATGAAAGACAGGGAAATGTCAGCCGAAAATTGGACAGAATTGTGTTCAATTGTGCATAATCAATTTTATGTCGCCTTCTTTATCCTAAAAGATAAATCAACCACCTCTTGTCACCAGAAAAGTCGAAAATAACGCTCCTTATAAGACCTTTGACAATCATAACACCAATAACTAGTTTTCCTCTTGCCACTTTTATATAAAGGGTTTTATCCGAAAATGATCCAACTCGACCAAACTTGAACAATGATACCGTAGTCCGCTTCAAAGCACATCCTTGTAATATTACGCAGTCATCCCCGGTTCAATGTTAGTGAGCAGTGGCGGCTAGA